ATTTCTGCCATCTGCACTCCCAATGGAACTTTAACTGACGTAGATGAGATTTCTAATTACTTTGGAAAAGTGTGGTGCGAATACTCCTCTGACAGCAACTTCTCCAGTGCTTTCATTGAAAATAAAAGGACTCCAATATCTCCTTCAATAATATCGATAGATGTGCCATGTTCGTGGAAAATTGCGTATCCACCTCAGAACTTGGAAGTTGTCTCTCCAATTTGAAGGGGAAGACACCTGGTCTAGACCGCATCTCATACCAAATGATCAGTGCTATGTCTAAGTCTAGTAAAAAGAAATTACTGGACCTATATAATACGGTATTTATGACTGGCCATATACCCTACATGTGGAAACTGCCAACAGTTGTTCCAATTCCAAAGTCAAAAAATGTCTCCATCGCATCAGATTATCGCCCAATTTCTCTTTTATCTTGCCTCTCTAAGGTATTAGAGAAGATTATGGCATCTAGATTATCTTGGTTTCTTGAGTCCAAGAACCTGATAACAAAGCAACAAGTTGGTTTCAAGCGAGGTAGAGGATGCAACGACGCTCTGTTACATATTGATTATTTCACAAGCAAAGCAATTTCCGAACAAAATCACGTAACAATTCTCTCAATTGATTTCGAAAAAGCATTTGACAGAGTTGGTCTTCATGCTATCTTAAGACTCTTGAAATCATGGAATGTTGGACCCAAATTCTTTAACTACATCAAATCATTCATGTCGCATCGGCGGTTCAAAGTTAGAATCAACAATCATCTTTCTGATTCCTTTCCGCTAAAGAATGGCATTCCGCAAGGATCTCCTCTCTCTGTCACGCTTTTCCAGATCGCTTTCAACGAAATTAGCGAAATTCTTTGCCGTGTACCAAGAGTGGAACATTGTCTCTACGCGGACGATGTATACATTTTTACAAAAGAAAAAGACAACACGAAATCAACATCCTCGAATCTATTGCATGTGAGATCTCCACATGGGCAAACTCGTCAGGAGCTATAATTTCTATACAAAAATCAAAAAAAATGCACATTTGTCGAAAACAAATATGCGATGCAGGAAACCTACTGATGCATATTAAGGACTTACCAGTACTAAATGTGCAGACGCTCCATGTTCTCGGGCTCACGTTTTCCAACAATTATCGTTGGAAAGCACACTGCCTTCGATTAAAAAACTCCCTTTTAACGAGGGTAAATTTCATACAGTACATTGCTTGGAGAAGCCATGCGCATATTAACACTATTGCTTATCTTACCAGAATGCTTGTGTTAAGCAAGATTGACTATGCTTTGATAATTTATGGCAATAGCTGCAAATCTAATATCAACATCCTTAAACCGGTCTATCACCAAGCCGTTAGAGCAAGTTGTTATGCTTTTCGGACGACGCCCATAAATAATATTATAATTGAAACTGGTCTCCCAACTTTAGAAAATAGACTGTATGAGTTAAAAGCTAAAATAGTCCCTAAGCTTCTTAATTCAAACAAATCCATTCGCGGTGATAACGTAAGAAAGATTATTATTGCGAAGAAAATTCCAAAGTCACCATCTGCAATTGACCATTGTTTGTGCATCGCAAAGGAATTGAACATTCCCTTAAAAATTTCTCGCTCTTTTGGTGTTAAACCTCCCTGGATTTTGAAAGACTGCTCTTTTGACATCTCACTGTCTATGCACAAGAAAGAAGATACTCCAAATTACGTCTTCAGGAATCTAATAGCTGAAAAAACCCAAGTATTGGACAGTACTGGTTGGAATCTTTTGTACACAGACGGCTCAAAATCTCCTGGTCTGCCTCCTGCTTGTGCGGTGGTAGATGCTACAGGACGGTTTCTTCTCAACCACATATTTCACGAAAGTATTTAAACTTTCATAAACGAAGCCAGAGCTATCCTTCACGCTGCCAACCTTGCCCATAAAAACAAGCTCAAAACCGTCATTGTTACTGACAGTTTGTCTGTACTACAAGCTACCCGGAACCCTTCGACTTCGAGATGGAGCACCATCAACAAATTAAGGAATATAATTACTACACCCGACGGAAAAATTAAAATGTTATGGGTACCAAGTCACATCGGTTTACTGGGAAATGAGCAGGCTGATCGAACGGCAAAGTATGCTGCTTCTGCTCCTCTAATTATGGATGATGTCATGGAAAAGTTGGATCTTCAAAGGTACATTGGAAGAAAAGTTAAAGAGAAAATTGCAGAAGGAAATTTACAATACCATCATCAACACTACTCTTGCATTAACCCTCAATTAACTCCACCTCTATATCCAACAAATGTTGAGAAAACCAAGATCCAAACATTTTCGAGAATTCGCCTTGGTCATACAATTGCAACTCACCAATGGATCCTGAAGAAGTCTTCTTCCCCAATCTGCTGTTGTGGACAAACTCTTACTATAAAGCACATTCTCTGCGACTGCCTCAACTTTTCCTTGGCTAGAAGTATTGCATTTGGAACGATTAACACTTTGAAGATTCTACAATCAGCTTCAGAACAGAATATCAATTCAATATATTACTTTATTAATACTACTAAGCTACTTTATTAATACTACTAAGCTCATTATCCATTTATTTAAATTAGAGCCGATAGCCTGTGTTGCTAGTGCTCAATGTCTTTTTTTTACTCTAAGAATTCAGTTCATTAGTCTAAAATTAAAATAATAATAATAATAATGATGCAATAGCTTTTATTATCAATTCATTAACCGAAAAATAATTACGAACAAGAGTAGGAAAAAAAAAAAGCAAAAATGAATTTTCAATACAGTAATTAATTACCACCAAAAAAAAAAGCGCACGCAAAATATGCGTTGAAAGTTCTTGCACGTATGTTGGTATTGGTATTGTGACTGGACACATATCTGTTCGTCCAAGTAAAAACTTGTAGCTTACAGCTCATTCATAGATTATGAATGATAAAACGCTGACATTTTGCCCACTAAGCACATAAAAAAAACCCACAAAAGGTTATAAGTGGTCAAATTTTTATCTCTTTCAATTTTTTCACGTTTTCTGCTTATTACTCAAAAGCTAAACAAGACAATGGTGAAAATTAAACGCAAATATATATTGTGAGGAGCCAAAGTCGTCCCTAGTTTTGGCCTCACAAATTCTTTGTCTCGGGAGGAGCAGTGCTAGGCTAAGTTAAGTTAAAAATTAGGATTAAATAAATAAAGGACTAGACGGACGATATCAAATAAAAGGACATAGGGAATAGAATGGGATAAGCTAAGTGTATAACAAATAAGTGGTGGACTCATTTTTTCAATAGATGAATACTACATATAGATAGGATAACGTGATGGGTATAAAAAAGTCTATCTCGGGCGAAAGTAATTTTGCTACATGTTTAAGAGTAAGTATCGATCTGCTCTCCAATGTAGTTTACTGTAAATGATAGATGAACCAAGTTTTTTTCCTTCGCTTCAATTGTTCGTCTGTTGGTGAACATTTTTATCCACCAATGCTTCAAATGTAGACTTGAAATAATAAGTTGTAAGTTGAGTTCGCATATGAAGGCTGTCGCCTGTGATCTTAAGGGCAGTCGATTGTGTATTTTTGATTTTGAGTGAAAACTGCTTATATTCAAACAAGAATTCTTGGGAAGCTGCTTAAACGTGTTTCTACCCACTATGAAAACTAAGTATGTTTTTCTGAATTCGCATGAAGAATTTCTCAATGAATATAACTGCAAACGTATTTACTTTCAGAAAGAAAATGCTAAAGCTGTGTAGCATAACCAATGTGAACGAAAGTTACTATACCGCAACGTGGTCAAGGTGCTATACGAGCTGAAAATACAATAGAAACTGCACCATAGCAAGTACGCCAGGTGAATGCTTCAGGTGACATAGAATATATTGTTGAAGCACCTTGCACACCACAAAAATCAGTATCTTTGCCAGCTACGGTTCAACCCACAACTCCAGTAATTACTCCGAGTACTATAGGAACTCTCAAACTCTCACAACTTTGCCAGAAAAAAGTTCATAAAGCCGGAGATATGCACCAATTGTCAAAAAAGGTATAATCGTTTCTTAAGAAAGAAAATAAAATTGGAATTTATTTTGAATGTCCTTATTAGAATACGTTTTAATATGGACGGCCCTTGTTGCCGTGAGTTCATGAGCCATTTAGCTGATTATGCGTAGGTAGTACCTCCAATGATTCCAGCTTTAATTGTTCATTGCTTACATGGAATAGAATGTAGTGGTTTGCAGGAAAAGGGCATACATCGCGTTTCTGGTTCTGAACGCGAAGTCAAAGCCCTTACAGAACGTTTTCTAAAAAACAAGACAATACCCCTTTGGGCAATATTGATGTGCACTTTCTGTGTGGATGCATAAAAGATTTTCTACGTTCTTTGAGTGATCTTTTGGTGGCTGAAGTGTAATTGACAAGTTTAGCTTTAACAAAATTGTCATCTTTCAGAAAAATTTCTCTTTCATTTCTTAGTAGGAAAAATTTTTAATATCCATCCATGATGTTGTTGATAGCTAACATCTGAAAGTAAGCGTTTCTTATTCTCAACAATTTATATAAAAATTGCCTACATCTGAGCATAAGCGTCCACATTTGTTTACACTTCTCAATAATTGAAAATGTGTTTGTATAAAAATTGCTAACATCTGAGAGTAAGTGTTTCTTATTCTCAATATGTTATGTTTTCGATTTACCATCTCACGAGCTTCCTCCACAGGATATTCGACTACATCGATCATCTCATCCCCAGTTCCACCGCCAAGAAACTTTTTCTGATCGTCAGTCACTTCACAATAATACATAATCTGTTTGGAGCCCTGCGTACCCACCCCAGATCTATATATGAACATAATTGATTAGCTAACTCCCACCCTGTTTGTTTATGGTTTATGGATCGTGGTTTCATATAGTTGCAAAGACAGGTTGAAGACTAATAATAATACTTTACAAATTGGATGAGATATATAAATATTTTTTTTTTGTTCGCAGCAACATTGTTAATGAATTCAAATTCATGTTATGATCTATTATAAAAGAAGTAGAAAAACTTGATACACATATTTCTTCCTTTTTGTGTAGCAGGCTGTTAATACCCGCCTCTACCGGGCGGTGGAGGTGCGCCTCTTATTATCCCAGGTGGGGGCCCTCTCATTGGAGGTGGAGCTCCACGCCCCATCCCTCCAGACATTGGTGGTATACCAGGCATCATAGAAGGCGGCGGCCCCCCCATCATAGGAGCTCTTGGCACACTCCTGCCCATAGGAGTCATGTGCTGTTGAGCTGGACCACCTATTCCACGCACTGGTCCTTGTAATCCTGCCGGTACTGACGATATATTTACCGGTACACCTCTTCCTGCTGCGCGGCTCATGCCAGGGCCAGTTGCAGCACCTGGTATTGGTACTCTTGGCAAGCCTTCTTCTGGTGGTGGCGGACCCTCCACAGTTAGCGAAACAATATTTTCTCCACGCAGCAGAACGAAGCCTAAAACACGCTTTTCCTCACGTTCGGGCACTTTGGCATTCTTTGACCGAATCTTGCGAAACTCCTCGCAATCCCCAAGAATGAGGTTCATGTGTTTGTCAAACGCCTTAAAGGTCCCGATAAATGTGCGAGAATCTTGTAGAACGATACGAACCCTGTAATTCAGGTGCTGTATCATTTTGTTATTTTTACCAATCGTCTACAAAACAAGAACGAATGTAAAATGTGTAGAAATTCATTTTATATATTTAAATGCAAAAATAATTCTTTTTTTGGATGTTGAGCAAAATGAAAAATTTGTATACCATTTTGAAAACAATTTAGCAATCGTCGTTTAAGAGCTAATAAACTTTTAATTTACTTTGGAATAAGTTTGCTGCGGGCAATATTTGCTATGATATGAAAATATTTCGATGGCGATGTTAAACATACTCAGCTGAAACAGAGTGTTGCCACAAATTTTAGGCATTAAGTAGATGAAAAGCAGTTAGGGGGCTAAAACATCCAGAATCATTTCTTTTTCGGGTTAAAAACTTCTTAATGACAATACAATGGGCAGCCTTGCTACCGTATTTTTTTACTGGAATATGTAAACATAAATAAAGTTTTACAACCAAACACAAAGAAATCAATGTAAAAGTAACCAAATTAAAAAAAAAACTGTAAGAAAGTTAGCATGAAAGTAGACAAGCTTGCTTTTTGATTATAATGAACATTGAATATATTTATGTATACATATGAATAAGCATATTTTTGAGTATTAACTCATCTATAATTTTATGAACTTATTTTACCTTTAAAATAAATCGTCTTTGTTGTTTGCTTTTCATATCTTACAATATTTTTTTTTTTTTTGGTATGTTGAACGGAGATGGACTAATATCTTACAATATAAACCAAAATTGCAAATCATATAATATAAAAAAAATGTACATTGGCGTTATTATTATTTATATAACTTTAAAATTTAAAAGAAACGATCGAAAAGAAACGATTGCACGAAGGAACGAAAAAACGATCATTTCTTTTTGTACTTTTTTCTCTTTTGTTGCATTTGTTTGTATACAAGACCATACTTTATCAGTTAGATACAGTTTTCCCACCAATCTCGTAATAAACTAGCTACCCTTCGCCTAAATTTCTGACAAAAAATATAAATAAAATTCAAATATATATAAATGTGTGTGTGTGTGTCTATTTCCTCCTCTTTCTCAGGTACGAGCAACCCAAAAATATCCCTCAGCGAAAACAATTTGGTGCCAACCATTCTGTTAACACTATACTGCTGCAAAGTACGTGTAAATACGAAAACAGTAAGTGGTTTTAACAATTAACCAATGAGTAAATATATTGTAATAAATTTGAAAATGTTTGGATGATGTACGAATATTTTATTAACTGCTCGGCTTCAGAACGCCAAGTCAAACTGCTTTTTTATGAAATGCCAATCGAGATCGGCATGAAGCATGATATTAGGCGGATGGAACTCCTTTGAGCTTTTAGAGGATTAGTACGGTTGTTGAATTGCTTTTAGACAATTGACTTTATTCAATTCTTACCTGGATATTTATACCAAAATTATTACACGAAATTATCCTAACGTCGGCATCGTATTACATTTCGTAATGCAATACTCAGCCAAGTGAAGTGCGACACCATTTTCATTTCTTTTTAGCAAAAGAATTAAGGTGTGAAGATAAATTCGAATTTAACTAGCAAAGAAAACTACCATTTCTGTTAACAAACCTCTGTCAACGACTTAACGAGCTCTGCTAAATAATTACAATTAAGATATAGTTGGATTTGAAAGCCTCCTCCGCCCATTTTAAAAAAAGGAAAATATTTTTGTGGTCATTTCGTGAATCTATATGAAAACACCACACCTTTCAAACAAACTAAACAAATTCACAATCTGACTATGGGAGCTTTTGTAACGGTGTTTTGAAATTTGGTATATTCGGGAAAAATGGATATGGAAGAACATGCAAATTTGCGACTCTAGTGCGGCCAAACTAGAAAATTTCGCCTGTGTTCATCTATATCACGTGAATCTATATAAAAGTACCTATCGAATGGGAAAAAAAATTCAAACTTCTCTTTCAGGAACTATTTTTACTGATTTTTTAAATTTGTTATATTAGCGAAACATGGATATGGAAGAACATGCAAATTTGAGAGTCTAGTGCGGCCAAACTACAAAATGTCGCCTATATTCACCTATATTACGTGAATCTATATAAAAGTACCTATCGAATGGGTAAAAAAATATTGTTGAAATTTTCTTTTAATATCTCTTTGAATATGTGTTCAAATAAATCGTCTTGTAGACTTAATGCATAGTCTACGAAATTTAACTTGTTTAGTTTTGATGTCAATTTTTCCAAGAGCACATCGAAATGGTCTGGAAATTCATTGCGTGTGCAGTTAAATTCTTTAACATTCTCAACTATAATATCTTTTATGTCGCTTTCGAATTTAATTTCTAATTTTCTTGTGTTCTTAATGTCATTTACTGACGTGCATTCCCATATATTTACTAGTTCATTATTTGTGTTTTCTCTTGCTGATTTGCTTCTGGTAATGACTAAAGTATCTTTTATCCATTCTTGATCTTCTTCTTTGGATATTGGAATCATCTCTTTTAACATATCAGAATTTATATTTATCCTCGATAGGGCGTCAGCGTCAGTGTTGTTTGAACTTTTTTTATAAATTATGTCGAAATCGTAGTCCGGTAATTCTATTCTTATTCTGGTTAATTTGCTCTGTGAATTTTTTGCCGAATAGGTAAGATCTGAAATGTGTTATTCCAAAATGAATTGCGAGTAGTGCCTTTTCTATAATTTGTTTGTTTTTTTCATGCTTGTTTTGGGACTTGCTTGCATATGCGATAGGTAAGTCTTGACCTATTTCTCCTTAGCATAGTACTGCTCCTAAGGTATAATTTGATGCATCAGTTGTTAAAATGAAGGGTTTATCGAAGTTTGCATATTGTAATATGGGTGGGGACATTAGTTTGTTTTTGAGTTCTAGGAATGCCTGATTACATTGGTTTGTAAATTCGAAGTCTTTACCTTTTTTCAGGAGATCGTTTAATGGTTGTGCTATGTTAGCAAAGTCTTTTATAAATTTTCTGTAATAGTTGCAGAATGCTACAAATCTTCTTACACCGTCTGTATTTTTGGGTTGGGGATAGCTTTTTATTTTTTCGTACTTAGCGGTTGTTGTTACGTGTCCTAAATAGGTTACTTCTGGTTGTAGAAAGTTGCATTTAGATGGGTTTAGTTTTAGATTATATTTGTTCAATCGTTCTAGTACTTTCGTTAGGTTTCTGTTGTGATGCCCAAAGCTACGTGCGTGTATTATTATGTGGTCTGCATACAAAAATACTTCGGTGTCTAGTCCTGATAAAACTATGGTTAGCATTCTTTGGAAATTGTTGGACGAAATTTTTAATCCGAATGGAAGTCTCGTGTATTGATAATGTCCGTTTGGTGTTAAAAAGGAGGTTAAGGGTCGCGAACTTTTGTTAAGTTTGATTCGATGAAATGAGTTTGTCATGTCCAAGGTGAAGAAATATTTTAGTCTGTCTACGATGTCTTCTAATCTTGTGAGGGGAAATTTGTCGTTTATTATTTTCTCGTTTCATTTTCTGTAGTCAACTACTAGTCGCCATTTCTTTATGTCTGTCTGACTTTTTGTGGGTACTAGTGAAAGTAGTGAGTTACAGGGGCTAACTGAGGGTTCTATAATGCTTTGTTATAATAATTCTTTTACTTGGGTATGCATGGTGTCGGTTTGTATGTGGGGTAATTTACAGTTTTTTACGTATACTGGTGTATTGTCGTTTGTTTCTATGTTTTGTCTGTAAAAATTATTTGCAGTGAGTGGTTCATTTTCTAGATGGAATACTGTTTGAAATTTTTTGAAGATGTTTATGAATTCTTGTTTTTGAGAGTTGTTAACGGTGTCTAGTTTTATGGATTTTAATATTTGTTGGAATCGTTGTTCATTATTTTTAAAGTGAATATTGTTTTGTGTGATTTGGTAGATGTTGAGTGGTTCGATGTTGAAATGTAGGTGTTGTATTATGATTTCTTTATCTAGTGTATTTAATATTTTAATGTGTTTTTGTCCGTTTTTTGGTATTATCGAATTGGCTAAAAATATTCCCTTTTGTATTTCTTTATTTAGTAATAAATTATCGCTGTCTATTTTGATATCTATGGGGACTATAACTTCGAATCTTGCAGGGAGAAATATATTGCTTTTGTTAAGTATTTCATCGTGTATGGGGAGCTAATTTGGTCATTGTGTGTATTAATTGTAAGAGCGAAATTTTCCTAATGTATGTTACATGCATACTTGTGTAGGAAATCTCTTCCTATAGTTCCATCGGTTTTTATTGGGAAGTTCTGGTTTACTAATTGTATTTTATGTTGAGTGGTTTTGAGATTTATTTTTAAATGCATTGTTCCCAAAGTTTCTATACATTCGTTGGTTATTCCTGGTAAGTTAATACATTCTTACATATTTAGTAGTACATAGTTGGATAATTTTGAGATGGAGAAGATATGGGGGCTTGCTTGGTTTAGGTGTTCAGTGGATGCATGGTTTAAGTGTTTGGTGGATGCCTGATTTAAATATTTGGTGGATGCCTGGTTTAAGTGTTTGGTCCCGAATTCAGGGGCATCGTCAAGGAATCCGGGTGAAATCCGTTTCCTTGGTTTTCTATGGCGTGTATGTGGTTGTTTTGGTTGTTGTTTCTTTGATTTTTGTTGTTATTGTTATTTTGATTTAGATAGTTGAAATTCCTATTATCGTAGTTGTAGTTGTTGGGATTGTTATTATTATTGTTGTTTCTAATTAAATTGTTGTTATTATTATTATAATAACTCCTGTTTTGATTATTTTATCTTTGATTGTTTCTATTGGAATTATTATTGTGATGTTGATTTCTGTAGGTTTGGTTAGTGTGGGAGTTTTTGTGGCGATTATTTGAATTTTTCTTTTGGTAATTTATTCTCATTACCTGTGAATTTGTTTGGGTCGCACTTTCTTATTGTAGCGCAATATTAATTGCTTCGGAAAAGTTTTTTGGTTGGGCTTCGAAGATAGTGGGTTTAATGTAGTTGTCGAGACCGTTTTTGAATATGGTTAAGACGTACGTATCGTTGATTTTGGTAATGGCAGATTTTTGTTGTTGTTTTGTTCGTTAGTTGGTAGGCACCGAGTTCTTTGATTCGAAGATTATTTAAATCTGCTATTAAGCTTAATATTTTATCTTTGAAACCTGTGATAGTACCTTTTTGAGTTGTTTGGTTTAATATTGAATGTAGTTTTGGTATTGTTTGACTTGATTTATATTTATTTTCAAGTTTTGCTTTTAATTCTTCTAGTGTTGTTGGGATATAATTTGCAAGGGCGGTTTGAACATTTGAAGACAGTTTGCAGTAGAATGTGTATTCTATTAGTTGTGGTTTAGCTTCTTCTTTTAAGCTTCTATGTATTATTTCAACAACTTTTATGAAGCAGTTGATATCTTTATAATTCCCAATAAATGTGGTATTGGACGAAGAGCCTGGCAGGAAGCAAACTTTTGGTTGTATAATACTTTCTATCTAGCTGACATTTATGTCTTCTAGAGATTCTTTGGTTGCTTCAATTTCTAATAATTCTTTTGCTGTTTTGCATTTCTGCTTAAATGTTTGTATTTTGTTTAATAAATTTGGTTGTTCTGGCTTTGTATTAGTTTCTAATATAGTATGAACTCTTGTTAT